GAATCAGGATCTTCTCAATCTCTGCCTTCTTAGTAGGTAGGATTATAGGTGTGAGCCAAATGCTTTCCTCTGTTTTTTTGCCTTTAAGCAGTCCTACAAGGGAATTGCCATTCGATAAAGCAGCTTATGAAAATGCAGCATGTCTTGATTGATGTCATCCTTTTCAACATTCTTGCCCATCCCTGCCAACCCTCACTTTTCTTATTTTTTAGGATATATATTGAATTCTTTGCCATTTAACAAGGCTGCTTATGTATACAACAAATCTTGATCTGCATCACCCATTTCAACATTTTCACCTCCTTTTGATCTACCCCTTCCCTTTTTTTCTTAATTTTGTGGTATATACAATGAATTCTTGACTGCCTTTTCCTCCTCTCCACCTTCATCATCTTCCCCTCTCCCCTTGGCCACAAGTTGAATATATCAGCTATTTAATGTAGTAAAGGAAAGCTGGCTAACACAGTAGCTATTTGACTAAATGGATGTGTTGAGTAATTTACACATACACCCAAGCACACAGTCAAACACACACATACAAGCAGCCTTCCTTCTGTACAACATTGTACTAACTAATGTGTATGCCTACCCTTGTGTTATGTAGTTCCCAGTGTGCCCTGGTTTTTATTAACATGGAACCCTCTAAAAGCTAGGGCTGCCTGTAGGCACTCTGTTTACATGCCCAAGACAACAAATTCACAAAAGCAGTACCCATAATATCAAATCAGGAAATGTTTTTCCCAACTATAACTCTGTGTTATTCAATAGATCCTTCTTTTGAACACATCCAATGATAGTGCAATCTACTCTCTACACTACACACTAGTTCTTTTTTTTTTAATACAGTGAAAGCAGGGGTTATACTGTGGGGGAGGGACATACAAAGCAACAAAGAAATAATCTTATAAATGTGTTAGAAACAATCACATGAAAGAAAAAAAAACATTTGAATACTTATCTTAGGGTTCATTTCCCTAACATCAACTTATCTGACCTTTTCTGCTTGACTCAGACATATACTAGTAATTGCAAATAAGGGAAACTAGGGGACCTATGTTTCTTTGGGCCAGGCTTACTTCACTTAACATAATTTTTTCCAAGTCTTTCCATTTTCTAACAAATGGGAGCAATGCCATTCTTTCTGATGGAGACATAGAATTCCATTGTGTATATATACCACATTTTCTTGATCCATTCATCTACTGAGGGGCATCTGGGTTGGTTCCATATCTTAGCTAAAGTAAATAATGCTGCAATAAATATAGTCGTGCTGGTAGCTTTAGTGTGGTCTTGTTTGTAATCATTTGGGTAAACACCCAAAAGTACACACTAGTTCTTAAGTTAATTCATCCTCCTGGTAATTTTGTGCTCATTTTTTATTGTGGCTCTGTAATCCGCAGCTACATAATTTATATTAAATTTATAATTAAAGAAACATCTCTCTAGAGTTGATAACTTCTCTGGTGGATTCTGTTTCAGCAGAGTCCACTATGGCATTGCTAACAATTGGCACCTCTTTGACCCAAAGCCTGCTCCAATCCTATAGGCACTTGAGCTACAGAATTCAGGGATTCTCATTTAACTACAAAGCCTCAGAGCTTAGAGTGACATTGTACGTATGCACCTCCAAGAGTCAGAGGCTCTCAACTAAATGTGCTTATCACTTTAATTTGCCTTAGGAATCCAGGTGTCTCTGAAATGCTAAATCTGTTAGAAAAAATGATCACTACACATTGTACAAATACAGGATTATCATTGAGGATGCTGTGTGTGTGTGTGTGTGTGTGTGTGTGTGTGTGTGTGTGTGTGTGTGTGTGTGTGTGTGTGTGTGTGGTGGATATACTGCCAAGATTATATGTCAAGAGTCAGTGAAGTCCTTTGCTTAAGGCTAACACAGCCTGCATGGAGGGGCTGGTGTACAGAAGAACAGTGCTTCCTAGTGAGCCACCATGGGGCTCATCTGAAGGACCATTCTTGCATTCTGGCTCCCTGTAGTGTTGACCGAGATTGTCCTCAAGTCTATATTACAGTTTACCATGTTTCTCTAGCTAATCCTGCTACTAGCAGACCCAGAGCAGCAAGTTTGTGGGGTTTTTTTTAATCTTCTCATGAAACAATTCTTTAGGATCACAGAGGATCCATATCAGGAGCAGGTTCATTCACGCAAAGTAAGAGATGAGAATAGTCAAGTCTCAGGAATAAATGGAGGCTAGAGGGATCTTAAGAATTTGAGCTTTGATTGGTGTGTGCAGATAGGGTTGTGTGGTCCTTTTTGGAAACTGGGTCGTATGTCATTAACTCCTCCCATACACTGAGTAGGAGAGCTTTTACTTTAACGGATCTGACTGTGACCATCAGGGTGGCTGGGTAGGTGGAAGATTTTGTCTAGCCAAGATGCTACTGATACGTTGACTATCACAAAAGCCACCAATCATGGTCACAAAGATGTTCCACTCTCCATGGCTGAGAGGGCCATGGAGATCAACAAGATGCAGGTACTTGACATGAGTTGTTTGGTTAATATCAACAGCCCACTCTCCTTGGCCATTCAATTTCCTGACTGCCTAGCTCTTCAGCCTCTGCTTCATTCCCCTTAAAGCTCACATGTCTGGATTCCAAAGGTGCTCCTTAATTAGCATCCTGCCCACTAAATTACACCCCAGAAGCTGTTTTTCCACTAGGGCGGGAGGAGAAACTATCTTACTCTGCTCTGACACCCTGAGGCCTAAGAATTTTGACCATCAGAGATCACTTTCTTTGAGAATTGTGTGCATTCTTCAATATATTAAACATATTAGAAATCCACTAGTTCTTCCGAGAAGGGCTCAGACTCTGAGATCTTTCTAGGGACTGAGCATGCTTTGGGTATGAAGGATAATATTCTAGGAAAGTCTTGAGCTCCTGGTTGGAAACACTCCTGCAGGCGTGGGTCTGGTACAAGTGTAAAATTGGCAGCCTAGACAATGGGAGGTGTTTTCTTTCCTGATGACTGTTTATCCGATCCTTTGATGCTGCTATCTGGATTCACAGATGTCAAGGGGTGTGGTGGTGAGCTTAGAAAACCTTTCTCAGGGCTTGAACAGATGCTCCCCATAGCTTCCCTAGGGAACTTTTGTCCATTGGTTAAAGGTTTAAATCTCTGATCTAAGTTTAGAGACTTAAGTTTGTTTAAACAGATTGTCCTCTTACAAGCTGACAACCAAAAGAATAAATTTGAAGAGTAAACGCATCTGAAGGAAACATCCGTATTACAGCTAGTGATCACTCTAAAACTTAACATACCTTGCTTAATTTCACTAATTGTCTTAATGAAGAAAAAGATCTGCATAATCTGTTTGCATTTCAGCTTCAGGCTTTGCCAGCTCTCACCTCAACAATCACACACACACACACACACACACACACACACATTCACACATACACACGCATGCACACTTGCACACAACCAAAGGTCAGATATAGCTCTCTGTTTTGGAATAAGAGAAAACTTTCTTCAGGCAATAGGAATATCTAAAAATGTCTTCCTCGTCTAGTGGTATAGCAGAAGAGGAAGCTAATTTATTTAAAATTATTAACATGTGTCCTTGTATTATTTTGTTTCAAATGTTTGTGTCATCTTTTATAAAGTGATGGAGTCACCCTATCCCTTACTGCCTTTGTGTTTTCTTGTATGCTATACCTTTATTGGGAAAAGATAGGCATTTTTTCTAAACCATTTAAACAAAACCAGGGGAAACCATTGAAAAAGTGTTAGATTTGACCTTTTGGAAGATTGCTTAAGGCAAGAAGATGAGTCTGGGGAAGAGAAAGGCTACCTAGAGACAAGAAATCTCGTCAATAGATCCTTGTGATATTCAGAACTAGAATGGATGAAAGAAATCTGCCCATGTTGGGCGCAGCAGATTGTAGGAGGCAGGAGATGTGGAAATGGTGATCACAAAACTGATCCTCCCTCTGTGGGTTATTGTAAAAGTGGAAAGAATTATTCATTCATTAATAACCAATTACCAAAGGACAATAAGCATCAAGGAAATGGTTCAGACAAAATAGCCACATGTAATAATTTTCAGTGCAAGGAAAATCGGGACAATTCCAAGGGTTTTGATCAAGACACATTGTATTCATAACCTGCTTTGCCAAATGGTAACTCTTTTGAAGGAGTTACTATAGTGATAAGGTAGAGAAAGGATTGGAAGAGAGACTTTGATGTGAATTTCTTTCTATTGTCTCTGCAGACTCTGCCATATAGTGACAATAATGAGGTAGGGAAACTGGAAATATCTCCAAATCTCCATTGCTCATCCTTGCAAAACTGCATCTCTTTAGAATCAATCTAAATGAATTACACATCCTCTCTTAAGTAAGGGGTTCTAATATGTCATTCCAGAGCAAAGGGATTGGGGCAATTATTCCTGAACCTGGCTTTGTGTGGCTTAAAGAAAGAAGATGAATAATTATAAACAATTTGTCTTGGTAACAAGATGGAATACAAGATGTTTTCTTTTTTTGTTGGCCCTAATAACTTTCAAGGCATTATGTTTGTTTTTGATTGTTTGTTTGTTTTAGATGAATTATTCTAGGTAAATGGAGAATCTGCTCACACTTTTCAAATTTGCATTGTCTAACTTGTATTCAATGTTAGATACTTATTCTGGAAAATAATAAATAATAAAAAAAAACTCTTACATTTTTTAAAGTTCGAATTGATAACTATCTAGACATCCCTTCCTGGATACCTTAATTCTTTTAAGCTCAAGACTGTAAAGTATAATTGAGATGAAATTACAATGACATAGTTTGTTCTGGGTATTCTATCCCTTAATTATTTTGTCTCCACTAACATCAAGGCTTTATAAAATTTTAATAGTACATGAATTGTAGTGAATACTTCACTCTTTAGCATGATATAAGTAAATGTATCTTGCATTTTCAATTGTCTTAAACTTGTCTCCTGATATTCTGTGACTAATACTGCCATTAAAACATTTCACAACATGTAGGGTAGAGAAGATTTCTTGAAAAAACTCACTAGAAATGAAGTTGCTGCCGGTGTAGCGATTCAGGTAAGACTAATTTGGTTTGAGTATTTTATTCTTGCTTTAATTTGCATTTTAGTTAGCATTTTAAATTTGCTTTCAGTGAGGCAACTTGTCGCTGCTCAGTTTGCAAGCTGGCAGTTTTCTCTCCTTAGCTGATGACAGTTGCCCTCTGTGTCCAACCAGCAGTGTCTGATCATGCATGAAATGCTGACCTCTCGTATACATATCTCATTTTGTGCTTTAATGGGAATTTCTGCCAGGCTAGTGAAAGGGTAGTGAGATCTTATTCCTAAGTGTTGAACTCTTTAGTTTGTTTTGTGGTGGTTAGGTTTGCTTAACTTTCAGTGTCTCTAACTTGAATTTACTTATTTTACCCTGAAACAAACGCACTGTGTGCTGTGATATTTCTCAGTAAAGATTGGAAATGAAAACCTGAGAACTCACAAGACAATTTTAATTTTTGAAAATCTTTGCCTATCACCTGTGCATCCTTTGGAACCTTGGTAGTGTCTTTGATCTATGACATGGTTTTAGAAATACACACACACACACAATTAGAATCAGAATTACACACATACAAACACACATAGAAATACATTAGACATGTGACTCATTCATATGAAATTGCAGTTATTTTTTATTATCAGAAAAACACAATCAATTACAGCCAAAAAGTCCAAATATAATATTATCTACTTCTTTGATCCTCTTTGTAATTTTCTTCTGTTACTTTTTTCTTTTGTGACTTGAAACATACATATTAAAAAATCCCATTGTCTTCCCAGACATTTTCCTAATATTTTGTTATTGATTTCCTTCTTATCATTTGTTCTTAGATTACAGAAATTGGATATATCTCACTATATGATATCAGTGTGCTCTCTTACGGTTCTCCAACATTTACTTAAGAATGCTTGATTTTTTGTCTATTCACTTTTTTCATTTCTTCTAATAATAATTTTTACAGTATTTGTACCCTTGCATTGTACAAATAGTACAATGACTGTACTATTTGGCCTTTCAATAACAACAAAGATAATTGTCTGGTACTTAATATGAACTGAATGTTTGGATACTTAAAAACTTAATGAATTATTTGAAATCTTTCCTAGTAGAAAAGGCTGCTTTCCATCGAAGAAAATCAGTTCACAGAGAGAAAGAAATTTGTGCATAAGAAAATATTATTCAGCATTGCACTAGAAGAAATTGAGAGTCCTCTGATGGAAATAGAAGAGGATGCTGTAAAAATCAGAGTCATCCACGGAGAACATTATGATGTAAGCATTTATAATCATTGATTATATAGCCAATTATATATAGGTTGTCCAGAAAATAATTTATAGAAATATTTAGCTTGATAAACCATGTATACGAGTTTACATTACTATTTAGAAAATGGTGACCTCATACAGAAAAATAATGGACACACTAAATAACTCTTTGAACACCATACCACTGGAATGTGGTGGAGTGATCTCACAAAGACTGTTCCTTAGAATCCTATACTTTATCTTGTAATATACATAGGAAAAGCAGTTTTCAAATGGATGGGCAAAGATGTATCTGGTGATGTCATTATCTTGATAGGATAATTAAATCTTCATTGCTTTTTAATAGACTATGAAGTTCTGTTTACTTGAACATAAAATATAAAGCATCGTGACATTTTCATAGGGGATTTTTTGATGCATACAGAAGTGAAAACAATTAAGCAACTATCAATAAAATACTACAAGTTTATGACAGTAACTGATTTTAGTAGCCCTTCCCCCCAAAAAATTAGTAGAAAAATATGTATGCAAACTGTCATTAGTCTTTCAGAGAAGCAGAGGGTGTGGTAAGAGTTATATATTCTTGTTATTTTTTTCTGTTGGAAAGACATACATATATTTGCTTGAACCATTTTGGCAATAAAATTTTTCATTTCTTTGCAAATGTTGATATAATTTTACGCTCTTGGTTATCAATAATTTTCTTTTTTAAATTTCTAATGTATTTATTGTAAAGGTGATTAAAGAGGGTTACAGTTACGGAAGTAAGGTAATGAGTATATTTCCTTTTGAACACTGTTAACCTTCCCTCCTTCAGTTTAGTCATATAAAAAGAGTTTCTATAACACATAATAATTTTGATTGCCATTGCTTCCCAATAAAATATAGAAGAGAAGGTTACTTAGCCGTAAACTAGAGAAAATTTGAGCCTAACCAAATCTAGCAATTTCTACAAGATCATGGAGCATAGAAACAAGAACATCTAAGTAGTAATCCATATAAAGATTCTGAATGCTGTCATAATGCTCATGTAACAAATATATTCCCAGTACCAACACCTAGTGGGATAAATGATTTAATAATGTGTCTCCCTTTCATTAACAATGGGAATTTATTAATTACATCAAGAGATTCATTACAATTGTCTCAGTATTATAATGAATTTTCAGACAAGATTAAAGTATTTTGTTTCTCCTTATTTTATAGTAGCCATAGTTTTAGAACTTCTTGTAGTTCGGTAATAATTTTTATTTTATTATATCTTAATAGTTAATAATGTATAAGAACTTTTCACGTAGCATGAAATCTAGGAAACACTTTACATACTTGTTAATGTTTGCTGACAACTTCCATTTAATTTTAATTTAGTTTAAATTTTAAATGTCAGAATAAAAATTCTATTCCCTTATAAGTGGTTTTGTTTTAAAACTTAAATGGGTTAAATTTTATTTTCAGCTAATATGTTGAGACTCTGGATGTCACAATGTTTCTATACTTCATATGTACTGTATTTACTAAAACATTTAGTTATGTAATTATTATTTAATTATAACCATAATAATTGGATAAATGTCTGAATGTCTTCTAGATGCTTAATGATATAATTGATAGGAAAAAAAAGGTCCGAGTAAAAGTAGAAAAAACAAGGAAAAAATTGCATAAAAAGGAGAAGATATCCCGTGTTGCATTATCAGAAACAGTGGTGAGAAATTTATTTCAAAAAACCATTTTGAATTTATAAGCCTTTATGTCCATGTAAACTAGTCAAAAGAATTTAATTTTAGGTGGAGCATTGTATTTCTCATTGCTTGCATTAAACAAACTTTCTGTGCACATGACCACACACACAAACATACACATATACTTTTCTTCTAGATGGTGAGGACAACAGCCTTTAATTAAGGTGGAATGTGAAGCAAAAATGTATATTGGATTGTGCAGAAATCCACTGTTTTCTTCTGCTTCCATGCTGGTTTCCAATGCTTGTGGTTTTAGGTAGAAATGAAGAAAAAAAAGGCAAAGAAAGAGAAAGGGAAGGAAAGAAGTAAAGAATGAGAAAGGAAAAGATGAAGCATTGAATCTTTCCCAAATTCTTATGCTGAAATTATAGCCAATGAATTAGTATTAGGAAGAAAGACTGTACAATTATATATATATATACATATATATGTATATAAAGAAAACAAAAAATAGCCAGAGCAGAAATAACAGAAATGGACTGGCAGCTGACTCAAGCAGTCAATGACTACCTACCAAGCATGAAGCCAAGAGTTCAAGTACCAGTGCTGCCAACACCAATAACAAAACAAAAACATACTACTTACTATACTTAAACAGCTAATCTTGTATAGAAAGTCAGGCCCAGAAACACAAACCATGCATGTTTTCCCTTAGTATGTGAAAGCAATCTTTAGCTCATAAATTAGTAAGTAAATGTGGCAGGTGATATGCAAGTGTATACAAATTTATTAGCTGAAATATGGTAGAGTCAAGGGAGATCTTAAATAGTGTAATTCCTAACGTTTAACAAAATAAATATTAGGAAACAGTTACTTGGGAAGGGGGAGTTGAGTCAAGAGGAAAGGGACAGAGAGATGAAGAGGAGATGTAGGGAGAATGCAATCAGGTATCTAGTATATTACAAAAATAAAAAGAATCCATGTATATCCTACGAAGTTAAGAAAAGTGGGGAAAGGGGTGGGTAGAAGAGAGATGGGTGAGGATATTGAAAGACTGCATTCATAAAGTGCTTTGTTAAATGGCAACTCCTTTGTACAACTACTTAAAACAATAAACATAAATAAAAAGGGAGAGTATCAGAAGCCTAAATAAAGATCCAGTCTAGAGTATCTGAGATAAGAATAGGAAACACATAATACAGAAAATAAGAGCAAAATGGACAGCAGTTGGGATCTATGGAATCATTTAGGAACATAAGCTGGATGTGGGAAATAATATACAATAATATGTAATAATGTACAATGTTCTAGCCCAGAAGCCAGTCGGTTGCTCTGAATATCTAACAGTTTTGAAGGGAACATAAAAAATAGTTGTGAATTCACCACTTCAAGCTGGAATTGCATGGGTCCAGCTTGAGAAATTGTAACGGTAGCAAATAGTGGTTTTTTTTTTTCTCTGAAAGATTAGAACAATGTATACTCTTGGCTGGCTGCAGATGCACACGGCACATTTGTGGAAGCCAGGGACCACATGGATGTGTTATGGAACTTGTTAGCTGTTTGTTTCTGTGTTCTTTTTCCTTCCTTCCTTCCTTCCTTCCTTCCTTCCTTCCTTCCTTCCTTCCTTCCCCCTCTCTTTCTCTCTTTCTCTCTTTCTTTCTCTCTTCTTTCTCTTTCTTTTTTCTTTCCTTTCTTTCTTTCTTTCTTTCTTTCTTTCTTTCTTTCTTTCTTTCTTTCTTTCTTTCTTTCTTTCTTTCTTTCTTTCTTTCTTTCTTTCTTTCTTTCTTTCTTTCTTTCTTTCTTTCTTTCTTTCTTTCTTTCTTTCTTTCTTTCTTTCTTTCTTTCTTTCTTTCTTTCTTTCTTTCTTTCTTTCTGGCAAATTTATTTAGAAGTCAAAGGAAAGACACAAAAAAAAAGGGAGGGCGACTCCAATGTAGTCTTCTAGTAAGGCAAGTCTTTTGTCCGCTTGTGTTGCTTTAGTAGTATGGGGCTCCTCCCATGTCTCTTTTGGACATTGTGCTGAGTGCTTGCATGAAACCACATGCTTGCAAGGTGTCCCTGTGTGCCGGTGGAGAGAAGAGACAAGCATGTGGAAAAAAGGCGGGGCAGGAAAACAGAGAGGACAGAGAGTGTTTACCAATCTTATCAATGGAAAAGTGGAGAGCACAAAACTAATTCGCTACCTATATTACCAAGAGATTACATACAACTGGTTTTTAGTTGTTCATACAGCCCATTGTCATTGTGCCTCCATTTGGTGAGGATTTCAAAAGCCAAATACTTAAAGCATTTCTGAATTTTGTTTGCAGGATAAACGGTCAACGGTTTTTAAACAGTATGAAGGCACGAAGACTAAAACAGTGCATTATAATGAAAAAATAATTCAGATGACTAAAGAATTAAGGGAAATAGAAGAGCAAAACGCAAAATTTGACAGGGAACTTGAACTTTTAAGGTAAGTGTTTCAATTTTGTAATCATTTTCAATGTTTACTTGGTAAATAAGTTCTCATGTTCTTATTTAAATTTTATTCTTTAAATGGTACATATTTTCTATTGCATTTTTATGTATACCACATATGTGATAAATTTAATCATTTGAGTTATTGGTATGAATAATTTGTTGAAGAAATAGAGCCAGGCCTATAAAAGAGAACTTGTTACAGGGAGAAGAGGTTCGTGGGCTTTAAATATGAGCCAGAAGTCAAATTTATAAAGGCTGATAATAGTCACAGTGAAGAGAGAAAAAAATTAAGAACCTAGCATGGAACTAATGGATCAGAGAGATTGGAAGAAATGGGAGAGACTAGAAGAAAATTTCAATATCTTTTAATATTGTGGGGTTTTTTTCCCCAAAATATATCCTAAAATTATTTCAGAAAGGAAAATGGAAATCAGCTAGTGGCATGGATTTTTTTTTCTTCCCAGGAAACAGTTTTATGATGTGAGACTTGAAAAAGAATGTATCCAAACAGTGTATGATCATCTTGCGGAGGAGAGATCAAAATGCTATGACAGACTCTATAGGGAAGGCCAGATGTTTAGAAAGTTCGTTGATATGAGACAAAGAACTCTGGCAAGTCTTTGTGTAAGTATTATTTTTGACTTGTTTTAAATTGTTTTAAGTTAAGTAGAGTAGTGGTCAAATTAGTAGGTAGTTTGAAACATTCTTCATTCATACTGTAATAGAAAAGGTGTTTGTTTTTTAACAATTGGTTGGAGACTCAATATATATATATATATATATTCTCTATACATACATATATAAATACATATAAAATCTCTATTGCTGATCATGTTTTAACAACTCACTAATGATTATTGTTGTTCACTGAGAGGTCTGTCAGTAAATGGACATAACAATCTCACTACAGTCTCAGTGTCACTCCATCTGTGGCTCATGTGGTATAGCACATGTCTAGAAAGCAGAAGACCCTGAGTTCAAACCCCATGACTACCTATATTAATTAATTTGTTAGAGAGAACATGCAACTTTCATTTTCCCCCCACAGTAATTAAATATAGCCATTCTGCATAGAGTGCTTTTCAATGCATTTTATGATGAGTCAAACTTTCATTGTATTTTATATTGAAGTCCAATAATGAAATGTAGATCATATTTATGTTTATAGAGCTATTTCTATATTTTAATGGAAGTATGAGAATGGTTTCATTTTGTTTCTCAATAAATATTCTTTGAATATTACCAACCTCCCCTCTCCCTCTGTTTTTTGTGTTAGTACGGGGGAGTGATTTCAAGACCTAAAACTTTCACTTGACTTTTTTCCTTAAGACTGTTTTTCTTCCATGTGAGCCACAGTTCCACACCTAGCTTTTTGCTGAATAGAAATAAAAAGATAATGAACTTCTTTGCCCAGGCTAGCTTCAAGTCATGATCCTCAGATCTCAATATCTGGAATAGCAAAAATTACAGGTGTGACCAACTAACCACTCTCGGATAAATAAGAACATTTTATTCTCTTTTAGAAAATATTTTTACAAGATTTCAATGACACAGTATACTTACTTTTATGAAACAGCAAGACTGATACAAACGTCTTTTGAAGCTGAGTTTTGATTAATAAAAAGTTCTATATATTAAATTTTATACAGACTTTCACTAAGTAAAATATATTTAATTAAATGGTTCCTACATTGTATTACATTTCGTAATGGCTTTTTAATTTAGTTGTAATATATTAATACCTTGGTTTTAAATATATGTGTACATATGCATTCATACACACATATATGCTTATTTAGAAATATTTAGGACACTGTTTTTTCATAAAAGATAAGTTTTTATTTTATTAAAACTTTTCTGCAAATCTTTTTAAGGTTTATGCAATGTAATAATATAATTTTACCAGTTAATTTTCATCCTGATACTTATATATTCAAATGATTCTTGCACATTCAACTATTGCATTCTTACTTTTTTTTATATTTAAAGTCAGTGTTAACAAATTGTAGAATATCTGGGACAAATGAACACATATGCAGGTAACTGACCATGCTGCATTTCATGCTATGTTGTGATCCTTCCTATAAGAAAATTATTAATAAAATATAGTAGTTTTATTAATAGTGATGTCTTTTTTTTTCCATTTTAGACAGTGGCTGTTACACAGAAAAGTTTTTTCCCTTGTTTAAAAATATGAAAATAATTGTCGCCATCTAGTGGTTGGATGATGCCTCTTCTGGAGGTGTCTGATGACAGTGTCTCAGGGGTGGTAGTTTTACTGAAAAAAAAACACCTCTTGCTACAAGAAAACTTAAGTATTTGACTTAAGCATCATCACAACCCCTATATTTTATCACAACAACAGAGTTGTTTGTTTGGATTCAACCACACTTTCTGATTGCACTGGTACTGAGACTAAGAAGATCTCAATAATCATTTATTGATAGGCCTTCCAGCATTTTAGTACAATGATAATCATTACTGATTATGGCAAAATAGGATAAGCAAGAGAGTGATAGAAAAATATTGTCTAAGCAGCTTCTAGATGATTGAGCTTTGAATTTATTTTAATCAAAAAAGCCAGTCTGACTTTGGATTCATCTTTCAGTCTCGTGGATCATTTTTTCTTCCCATGCACTTGCCTCCATCTCCTTCCACTGGTTTTACTCTGTTATTTGTACTTGCTTGTTATCTGCTGATCTCATACCAGAATAATGACTTCCTTACAAGGGCAGGGGTTTTTCTGCCACAGTCTTCTCTGCATACTGAAATCTCAGAGGTATGGCTGGCAAAAGCAAAGAATCCACGAATGATTTTGAATGAAAGAGTGGATGGGTGCTTGTTTTGGCGGTTTTGCTGCCTATAGTCATGATGATAGCTAGAAGCAGAGGTCTTGCTGAGATAATTTCTCTAAGATGTGGAAGGCCAGTCTGATCTGACACCCATTTCTGTGAAAACTTATGCTCTGTATCAGAGCAAACACCCCATATTCTCTCTCTCTCCCTGACAAGAAATGGGACGTTTACCATCCAATCTGTCTACTCTTGAAAACTGTTAAAGTTACTATTACTTTCTAGCACTTAAGGATTCTGTAAAAAATCTCTAAGTCACCTATCAAGCAACCTTGGATTTGGAGGAAGTTGTTTATTCTCTATTTCTTTTTTATTTAACTTCTGTGACTAGAAGCATAGAGTCTGTCTTACATAACCATAACAGGTTAAATTTAGGGCCGTATCATTAACACTGCTGTTTATGTGTGAATATGATCATGAGTGTTAAACAGTGGAAAGTTTGCCAGATGTGGTAGCACACACTCAGGGGGCTGGAATAGGATTGTTAAGTCCAGGCCAGTTTAGGCTATATAGTGAACCCTTCTCTGGAATAACAAAGGTTATTCCTAGAAAAGTTGACCTCATATATATATATATGTAATATAAAGTATTCCAAGAAGGAAAAAAATCCATTATAAATGTGATGTTATATAACTGAGATGTTGTAAGACTGAGACAAAAGATTAGTTCACATTTATATACTATCTTTGCAGCCTGTAGCTTTTGTGAAAAACTACTAAAGAAAGAACAGAATTTGTAATAAAAAAACCACATCACAGAATTAGAAATACAAACAGTTAAAAAATAATAAAAGGAATGGTTTAAGGAAAAACAGGCACAGCTTTAGATAACATAGGATGAGATCCTGAAGTTAAAGCCAGTCTTTCTCCAGTAGGACATTCCATATCATATACCTTTCCCTGGTAGATAATTTTTTTTGTCATGGCATTTGTACTTAGTGTCTATAATTTGTAAACATAATTGTTTAAGGTAATTGTTCAAGGTATCAGTACAGCATATCCATCACACTTCTGTGGCTACCCATGAAAGGACTTTACTTTTGAAAGATCCATATGAAGATAAAGTTGACAGCATTTTAATCTGCTATCTCAGCAGGCCCAAAGTGTTAAAGCCTCTTTCCGGGCATTCTTTCAGTACTTTTTCCCCCCTTTATTGTAATTTAGGGTATGACATGAGAGGGTTAGCCTGAGAAGACAGTTTCCAGACAGAGTTCTAACAATCTCCCAATTTCTTCTGGAGTGGTTTTTATTTGCTTCCTACTGGTAGTTCTCAGGAAATACTTCCTCTCGTATCTACAGCGGCACCATATTTAGTTTTGAAATCATGTTTTAACCCTTTCACATGGAAAATTCTTACCTCAACACAAAGGTAGTAGCTTCCTGTTCAGCTAATCAGGCATTTAAATAGCAAAAGTCCTGGGTCAATTTTATCTCCTGTGATTTTTTTAAATTATATTTTTATTATCTTTAAATGCTGCACAAAGGAGTTCCCATTCAACAAATTAGTTGGTAAGTACCATGAGTCTTGACCAAGGTCACCGTTTTCAACATTCTCCCCCATCTATACTGGCCCAGCCCAGCCCCCCAATTTTCTTTTGTTTGTTTTTCAACTATTTTAAAGTATGTTTATGATATATTTTACATCAAGCACTTGAATCAAACTTCAATCTCTGGATTTAATATAGATCCTTTATAATTACATGTAATCATTATTTGAAAATACACACTGAACTAAGTCAGCTAGTGAATAAAATAACTGTTAACTAGAAACCTCAGGGACAGGGTCATGAATGATCAGTTAAGTCACGTTTCCACCGTGTTTTAGTCTCAATTCACATTTGTTTCCATCACACAGACATCCATTTTGAGTTAGCTTAGACAGCAGAGCCTAACAACATAAAGCTATGTTTTCTTAAAGGAAATTCAGTTTAATACAAAGAACTTCAAGAAGAAAAATCAGGACTCTTGATCAGAAGCCTTCCGTGCTTGTGTTTCTCTGGAGCAACAAAAGTCTGGAAGGCTAAGCAGGAAGTGTTTCTTAATAATTAATGCATATCCTCTGAGGTGTTTTTAAAAGATCATTACAAAGTTTAAATGATTCTCCTATTGACTACTCATCATTTTTTCATTGTCATGTGATTGTTCTATGAGAGCTATTATGTTCCACGCACTCAGTATTGGACAATCAAAATCAATTTAAAAAACACCTCAGCAGAAAAGATGGATTTGAAACATCAGGCTTAAATATATTCTAAACAGTAAGTGGTAATTCTCATCCACTACCCTGAAACAGTAGGGTTATTATAAGTAAAATATGCTGCCATTGTCTCAATAGTGGGAAAGGAATAAGAAATAATCCTGATAATGGAGGAACTGACCTAGTAATTTCTACAGGAAGAATTTTTTTTTCTGGAAGTGTTACTGCGGATAAATGTGGTAGAGCGCTCAAAGAGCTCAGAGACAGTGCCCAGGCCCTGAGTTCAAGCCCCAAGACAGACAAAAACAATTTTTTTAAAGAAAGAAAGAAAGAAAAAGAATATTTTTCCTTAATATTAACCTGCCTGTCACCAAATCCATTTTAATGTCACAAAATTTTGAAGATGAGGAATGTGGTTAAAATAATAAGCATTTCCTTTTTTAAAAAAATCACTGCTGATATAATTAAGCACCAATTAATCACACATAATAATGTGAGTTGCTTTTTGGACATATCTTGTTAAAATGAATCTTTTGAGAGCAGGTAGCAATAGTGTTCCTTTTATATCAAGGAGCA